GGGAGTGGGAGAGGGAAAGTTAAGGGAAAGACAGCCAGGCGAGAGTGAAAAAGGAAAGGAGTGAGTAAGAGAGACAGCTCTGACCTGACAGGGAGCCAAAAACACAAATTCTTTCCTTTTTTCTCATATTTTTTCCCCATGTTTCCCTCGTTTTCTCCTCACAGCATGCCATTTCAGTTTAAATGTAATAACTTTGTGCTTTGTTAACTTCTGGTAAATTTGTGTCTGGATTTGACAACAACTAAACAAACTTAAACTGTAAAGCAGTGATTATACATTCAGTGTGTAAAAACAAAAATCTTGGATGCACTTGCTCAATCAGTCTTGTTCTCCAGGGCACGCTGATTTGTAAACCAGTGTAGTGCAGACTGCTGATAAGAGCTGCTAAAATAGCTATGAAAATTCAATCTGTTTACAGCGGTGTGCTCTCAGATAGCTTTCATTTGGGAGACAGACAGATTAGTCATCTGAAAATAAATTAAAAAGTGGAAGAACAGCATGCCAAAAAGGAGTGACAGGATATGATCTAATATCCTATGTGTTTCCAGACTTTTCAACAAGCACCTCCTACAGTAGTGTGTGAACATCTGCTACCATTAAGGTGCATCAGCACAGTTAATCTGAATATAATTTACATGGCTTTGGGGATGATTTGATGCCAAATTATTGTCTTTTTTTATTATTTTGATTATGTGAGTGAGCAAGTTAATCTTTATTCACACAATTGCCTTTGTGTGTGTGTTTGGAAGAAAACTTAAGGTTTTGAAGTTTTGATGGTTAAAAACAAGCTCAAATAATCGCTAAATGATTTCTTGAATATGAAGAAGAGTTCATTGTAATCCAATGACATCAAATCTCTATACGGTAGAGCACCTTTGGGATGTGGTTGAATGGAACAAATCTGCTGCAAGTGTTTGGTAATATTGTGTTAGTATGGACCAGCATCTCTGAGGAATGTTTCCAGCATCTTGCTGAATCTATGCCATAATTCATTAGGGCAGTTCTGTGGAAAAAACAGCCCCTGACCCCACCCACAGCAGAATTAAGACTCATCAGTCCAGGCAATGTTTTTTCAATCTCCTCGTCTAACTTTGGTGAGCCTAAGTGAACTTTAGCCTCTGTTTCTTGTTTCCTCAGCTAACAGGTCTGGCACCTGGCCGTGGTCTTCTGTTCCTCTTGTCCATCAGCTTCAAGGTTCAACAGAGTGTGTTCAGAGATGCTCTTCTTCATACCCTTGTATATAGAGAGTGGTTATTTGACTTACCCTTGCCTTCCTTTCCTTGAAGCAATCTGACCAGTTTCCTCTGACCTCAGACATAAACAAAGCATTTTTGTCCAAAATAAATGCCAATCACTAGGTATTTTTTTCTTTTTCAGAACATTTTCTTTTTTTCTTAAACTCTACAGACGGTTATGCAGGAAAATCCCAACACATCAGCAGTTTCAGAAATACTCAGACTAGCCCATCTGGCACCAGCAACAATGCCACATTCAAAGTCACTCATATGACCTTTCTTATCCATTCTGTTGCTTGGTTTGAAGACCTCACTTTAAAAAGGAGAGATTGTTTAGGAAAACTGAAAATGACAGGACTGGAACATTCACTTTAATTTTTAGAGAGTAGTTGGTATGGATCTGTTAACTTTTAGGCTCTTTCAAGGATATTTGGTACTAATTGAGGTTATTTATACCTGTAAATATAACAAAAATAGTCTCCATTACATAGACGTGAATCATGTCACATTCGTTCTGGGCTAATTTTTTTAAAATGACATGAACGCTTACACAACTGTCCAAATCACCCTTAATTCACCTTACATTTTGGCATTGCCTAACAGACTTCACAATATGAATCTACGAAGGCTATTTGTGCTGGAACTGAAGATGCTGAGTGCAGACAAGAATAAAGGCAGTGATGAATGCTCACGCTGCACTGAAAGATACCGGGGCTCTTGTGGTTGTAGCAAACTTGATGTGGTTTGGGAGTCTCACTTACTGATCACATGAGTTGCTGATTTCAAGATTTTTTTTAAAAAAAAGGGGGGGGGGGGGCAGAATTGGGTTTACAGCCTCGAATCTGCTCTCGAAATCGGCGAAAACACACTCTGGTCCATGTTCTAGTTATTACTCATCACATTATTTGGCAGGCTGTTTTTCCCTCAGATGGGCTCCGGTCGCTGGGACATAATTTTATGTAATTTTCCACTAGTGCAGTGAAACATGTTTAGTCTTCTAAACAATGTCCCTTTCAACAGATGCATTTTATGGCTCTTTGAACAAGTTGTAGGGTAAGATTATAAAGGCATCTTGGGACATATACTCTGATGAACATTAGTAAGCCTGCTGCATTTAATTGTGGACGCATTCAAACACATTCAGCATGTTTTGTTTATAAATTGCAGCTGGGATAGTGATTGCTCTTTTTTGTATACAGCTGAGATCCCATCTGCATTCTTTTAAACATAACTTTTATTAGGATAACACCCTCAATCCAAAGAGATTTTTAAGGTGTTCCACAAAAAATAAGGGATTCAAGTCCCACCGACACAAGTGTCCACTGAAGCTGCTTTGGACCATTAAAAGCAATTCTAATTATTATTATTCGAATTATTACATCATGTAGTTTTTATCAAATACACCAATCACCACTTTATTTTTTGGTGTTGTGGTGGTGATAGTGGTGAAGCTGAAGGTTTAAAACACCCTGCTCTTTCCAAACAAACCTAGGAGAGCTTTTTGAAAACATACTGTTCTTGCAGCAGATAATTATTTTCCAGGACATTAATGGCCCATATACAAGCTGTGTTGCGTAACTGGTACAAAGTAGCAAACATTTTATTCAGGTCAGGGTCACAGTGACCACAGAGCAAGCAGAGACATCATGGAATATAATTTATAGCTTTATGTGATGCACTCACAGATTTAGGACTGCATGCACATAAAGTTGGAAAACCAACAAATGTCATCCACAGAGATCGTGACAGAGACAACAGGGCTCACCATGACAGTGGCCATTTTGACTGTATGTGCTGGGTGTCACATGTAATCTCTTGAAGAAGAAAAAAGAGGATGGGGGGCTAAGTCAACAGCATACAACTAAGGCTAGGTATGGATGGATGCAAGTTGGTGCTAATAATTAAAAAAAATATTATGTACTTGTTAGCACTAATTGAATTTGCAGATAATTGAGAGATAATTGACTTGACTGGACAAGTTCAGCGACTTCAATAAGTTGAGGGGACATCTAGCAGACAGTTTGCAGTGTTACCATCTACCCTGTTAATGAGTCTTTGCAACCCCCTAATATGAAACATTTAGTTCTTAAAGGTACAGTGTGTAAAATCTCACTGCTTGATGCCAGGAGATCAAGTGCATCATCACAGCTACGCTGCCCACGGTAGGCCAAACAACTCTGGCCTCCGTTCATCTGTAGTGAGTGTAGGCTGTCAGCCCGCTGTTAACCTCAGCTGGAGTCCATGTTCATTTACTCTGCAGGAGGCTCTGAAAAAGGAGCCGACGAGTCATTAAAGCTCACTTCTGTCTAATGTCAGCAATACTGAGGTGAGTTGTTGAGAACATCCTGTTTTTTGTTTTTTTTTTGCTTTTAGGTGGCATTAGTAAAACTTTCTTTGAAGTGCAAATCTAATATTTTATTCTCTGGAATAAGCAGTTGTGACAAGATCGGGAATAAATGACATGTTTATTCTCATTTTTGTGTTGCACTGGCTATAGAGTAATTGACCCATCTTCAGATCTACCCAAAAGTGGCAACTTCAGGAACTCTGGTTTTTGTCATAATTGACTTTGCTCAGTTTTTTCCTCTGGGTTGCCACCTGAATGACATGTTTGATAAGAGCCTCCCTTCTTGATATATATCCATCCATTCTCTGCTATAGGGCTAACAAGCATGTCTTTGGACTGTGGGAGCCAGAAGTCAGAGTACCTGGACAGAACCCATGCAAATTCCACAGAGAAAGGCCAACACCGGCTAGTGGATTGTAATCCAGGGTGTTTTTGCACCATGTGAGGTGATGATGCCAACCACTATGCCATTTACTACCACAGCTCAAAGTAAATACTAAGTGCACGATTTCTATAAAGACTACTGCAGGTTTTGCTGTAAAGACGTGATCACATGACAGTGAATTCACTAAGGCTACATTGTCAAACTTGGAGCAGAGCCACAACAAACTGTTCTTACAGTCTGAGCAGTGCTTTTCGTGCCAGGTTCCATCACCTTTCTTTGTAAGCTGGTAAAGTGCGTCGTAACTTTCCTCTCTTCTTTTAGCAAGAATTTTCTTTATCATTTTATTCACATTAATTAGGCCTTTAATTTACATAAATGTTTGCAAATAGTCTAAAATGTCTCAATTTCTTCACTGTAACACAACAGAAGAAACGACATTCTCTAAAAGCAATCATTACTGACCAATGAAATAACCCCAGTGTGACTGCAGAGTTAGACCTGAAAACTACACGAGCCAAGCCAAAGCTGCAGTGGAATCTGGGTCAGAGCTAGTTAACAGATTTGTCTTTCAGCCACGCTCATCCATCTACAAAGGAAAAAATACAGCGTGGCAGTCTGGAACCGGGTTGCTGCAGCACTGGAAAAGTACAGGGCCCTTCAAAGGGCACACGACCGACATTGACATCAAAGTACCGTGTAACAGTGGGACATTATTTTGCACAGTCACACTGATATAACCTCAGATAGCACCCCGAAACTGTGTCAGGAGACTTTAACGTCAGCCTCTTTTCACTGCAGAAACACTGGAGCGTGGCCACTGTTTCCATTTTAACATCCAGAAACTCAACATTCCCATTTGAACATAAAAGAAGGAACATCATGTTGTTCATTCAGTCTTGTTTTATGTTCCATTTCATGGATAAGTTGCTCTGTGCTTTTTTATCAGCAAAATTTAAAGAGACCTCGAGTTACTTGCAGGAATCATGCGCCAAATACAAATACACCCAGACCGTGGAAAATTAAAATCACGATCCCCAGGAAAGACATGTTTATTCTGTAGAAATATTTTAGAGATTCATACAATAAGAGAAGAGCAGAATATGTATTTTGTATTAGTATTAGTTAGGCAGACTTTAAAAAAAATACTACATTTCTGCCTAGAAACCATAATCTGAGATGAGGAGGCACTTTGACTGTTCAATCCATTATTATGAAGAATATTACACCAATCTGCTCTACTCTTCAAACATTTCTAGACATATTACACTGAAAGATTTCATCAGCAGGGAAGATTACAGAAAAATTGGACAAGAACTGAATTAGTATCACAAAGTAGGGAGGTACCTGTCTCTACTACGTTGGACTAACAGTATCGCTGCAGGCAGGGACTAAATTAGAGAAATAATTATCTCTCCATCTATGTCGTTCTCCAGATTGGCCTGTCTGCTTACTAATCCCAGTGTTTGGTCAGTGAGGTCACTAAAAGGAAGAGTGTTTTAGTCCAGTGATGAGAATTTTTAACATTTATCTGAAACCAGGCTTGCGGTTGAATTCCTCGTGGTTTATCTCTGTTCTCTTTCCAGCATCTCGTCTACAGCTTGGCTTTGCCCGGCTGCAGCTGCAGGTTTTGTAGCTTCATAGCCAGACCCATGTTTCCTGTGATCTTCAGCTTGCCCTGGAAAAATGCCTGTCAATCAGAGCGAGAGCGAGAGTGTAATGCACTGTAATATAAAAGCATCAGATGGTTGGGAATCAGAAGCATGGTTCATTCAGTGTAGGAGAGAAATACATGCTGCTGGCTTTAAAGAGTTACCATGAGAGATTAACTCAACCCGAGAAAAAGTGGGACAACAGCAACAACAGCTTATGAAAGGTCAGGAAACTCCAGAGCACACAGGCGTATGAAGGAGAAATGAATGTTTGTGATGTGAGAAGGTAAAAATCAGGCGAGTGATGTAAAAACGTGACCATTTTAGAGATAAATATTTTCTCATGGAAATAAAAATAACAGTCATTCATGTAACTTTACAGCAGAAATGGGGAAACTGAGGGGTTTTTATTTGTTCAAAAAAACAACAAAAAAAAACAACAACAATGCAGATATCCAAATAACTGGGGGTCTAAGCTGTGGAAAACACACTGCTGGAGCCTGCATTGCTATCCTTTTGTGATTAATAGAAAACGTATTAAATTATTAAAGCTGTGCAACACTCCTTTTGGTAATCTGTAGGAATGCATCTCTCCCTCTCTGTCCCTCTAATCTTCCTTTTCTCAGGCCTTGTTGTGGCTTCTCTGCAATCTGTTATCCAAAGCAGGGTTAGAATCATGTACTTGTGCATCATGTAACTGTTTCCCTGTAAGAGCGTCACACACATATCTGTTCCCAGGATAACGTTGGAAGAAGTTAATAAATTAAACTTGCATAGATATTCATCACGTATGCTTTTGCTTCCTTGCAAGTAAATAAATGCGTTGGAACTCACTGCTCTGTGTCTCACTTCATAAGGGATTTTTTTTTTTAAAAAACAGCTTGGTCCTTCGAGCTGGATTTCAACATCTCTCCTGTTCATTTCAGCCAATGCGGACCAATACCGTACATAAGAGAGTATGGGACTCCTGCAAGACCTCCACCAGAGTTTAAAAACGACAATTCAGGATCGTTGAGTTGTGCACATTATTATTAGTATTATAATAAAAGCTGGAGAAGGTTGCAGAGCGGTTACCAGTGTTTCCAGTGGGACTGCCCTGTGAAACCCCATTGTACGCACCAATTACTCAGACATTATGTCTGTTATAACTGGTTAGCTGACTGAATTATAAAAACTGAAGAACACTCGCAACTAAATAAATAAAATACATACATAGATTAACCCCTTAGCAGTCCTACAAATTTACAATTAGTCCCCTAAACCATCCAATGTACCGTGGGCGGTACGTCCGACTGCTAACAGGTTAAATAAGTAAATATGTAAAATAAAGAAAGAAAACAGAAGCTGAAATAGAGAGTCGACTCTAAAATAGACACAACAGATAAACTAGTAAAGATATAGTGAGGTAAAGTAAAACGCACAATAAAATAAAATAAAGTGAAATGAAAAGCTGTAGGATGGGTAGTAACTGCAGTAAGGTGGAACAGGATGCACTCAATGCCAGTGACGTCAGGTCAATGTGCCAAAGAGACTCGAGAGCAGTTCAGCATTTGCTCTTATGGCAAAAGGAGTTCAGTTTTGAGGGGAAACTAGATGTTTTTCTCCCATCCTTTTTTTTAATGTCACACAGGAAAATCAGAGAGGAAGAGGCAGACATACAGTGCAGAAGCGGCTTTTCTAGGACCTCACAGTACATGCAATCACTGCAAATGGCTGTGAGCTGATGGTAGATGTCTCTGGATGACATTTTTTTAGTGTAAATTGACCTGAGTGCTACCTTAATATAGTGCTTTCACGTGTAATAATAATAATAATAATTCAAATGCATTTCCTGCATGGAAAACAACGAGGAGCTGATAAGTCAAATGTCGAATCATAAAAGGTTAAAACTGTATATATATTTAGCTTGAAGGTGCAAAAGAGCCACCATATCTATTTTCAGACAAATCTAATGAAAAGACAATTGGTTCATTTTGTGATATGTGGCTCTCGACCCCTCTCACTGTTGTTTCTGCAAAATACAAATATCTTTAAGTATGGTTTAGTTTTTAAAAAGGTTCCCAGTTTGTAATCTTAGTTACTAAAAACCAGTGTAATTGACTTATTAAACATTTGTTGTACCAGTAAAGTGGTTCCATAATCAGGGGTAAATGCTTTCCAGGGTTCGTTTCGCAATTCACAGAATACTTGGAAAGAGCTAAAACTAAAAGGTAACTTATTACGTTGTTTCTTATCTTCTGTACATTTCAACTAATGAGGACAGTGAATGTGAATGTAGTCCGTGTGAGCCAAAGGCTCCTACTTCAAAGTCCACAAAACGCCCAGTGTCATAGTGTTTTCTACTTTTGTATCTATGATACCACAGAGCGGACCTAATATAGTGATCGCAGGCAAAGATGCCCCACAGCTCTGCTGTTCAGTCTTTGTTTGTGTAGTGCAGGCAAACAAAAGAACCATCCTGTAAAAGGAGGATACCTAAAACAGCTTGTTTCAGACAGAGGATTGAGAAACTAAGAAGGATGTAACACTAAAGAGATGGATAAGCAGATTCAGTATACGTCTTAAAGCAGCGGCTCTCGCACAATGCCAAAAACGTTAACAGCTCCTACACTACAATTTTTAAATCCACCATCACAAACAAATAAGGATCTGAGCTAAATTTAAGTAAATTAAAGTACAAGTCTGACTTAAGTAAACATTAAATTTGTTGTATTACTGCACATTCATCAGGGCACGTTGGTTTTTTCACATGCTGAGCCAGTGCACAGCTCTGTGGCCGTGCTGGAGAGGCCACAGCTAACAAGACATCCAGCAACTCAAATGACTGAGAACATGCAGAGCTTTGGTCCAGCTGGTCTTGGTCTTTTTTTCCAGTTAATTTTTTCGAAGGTGTGAGACAATCTCCAGGACAACAATGTTTATCAAAACAGCAAACTCCTCATTCACAGTTTCACAGCTGAAATTAAGCTCATCTATGAACAAACGGACTTTTTCCAAGACTGGCAACAGCGGGTTCGACTCCTTGGAGGAAAAACTTTTTTTCTCAGTTGGCAGCTCAGCAGAAATGTCCGTTCCAGGTGGCTAATAGCTGTTTACTTTAAGTCAGGCTGAAAAACATATAAAATGAATGTTGTAAAAATGTTTTTTGGAAAGCTGTGGGAAGCTCACACTAGACATCCTAAGTATTTGTGGGTAATGTAGGACCTTGCCAGCCAACTGGAGAACTCATGGCAGAGGGACATAAGTGGATACGTAAACATGGTAACACCATGTCAGACTTATCAACTAACACTTATACAGAAATCTAAAAGAGTATATGATAGTGCCTTTCCTTCTCACACAAATCATTCAATATGTTTCTAAATCAGTTATTAGTAAGTGTTACACTTTTATTAGCCAAAAATGAGACTTGAGAAAAACAAATACTGCATGCTTGTACAAAATTAAATAAAATAGTACCGGAAATGTCTTTAGTTTAAGGTTTTTTGACTTTGAAATGGCTCAAGATCGCTGTCAGCTAGTCAACTGGCACATTTAAGGAGACTAAGATGTTTTTGTTTGGTTGGGTTTTTTTGGTACTTTATGGAAAGAAAAGAGTTCACTGAATCAACTTCAGCTGCAGTATCAACAGACCGAAGGGAAAATGGTAAATGGACAGCACTTATAGCACTTCACAGTTTAGCCTCCAGGCCGTACCAACACCGAATACTCACAGTTTGTGGGTTCATTTTCCCAGTCATCAAGGCCAACAAGTCTGCGTCTGACATAGAAATGGTGCAATCGGCTTCCTTATCTGCAGGGCAGAGACACAGAAACCGAGCTAAGTTTAAAAAAACATGTTACAGCTCAGAGGTTTTTGCTCACTGACTGAAAAGAATGGGAGCAGTTTAACCCTCAAGAGACAGAGATATTTTAACACCGAAAATGGGACCGAGGGGTCATTCGTGAATCCATTATATTGGATACAAGAAGACTGGAAGACTTTAAATCATGCTCACACAGCCGCTCAGCTTTCTCACCAGTATCATTGTGAACGCAGCCTTTGCCGTTTTTCACGTCCACAAACCAAGTTGCCTCCTTTCCACTTGGGCCGTCCTTTACTTTGAAGGCAAACACTCCACCAATCTTTTTCACAAACTGCTCCCCATCCTGTACAAAGACATTTCACATACCTTAAACCAAAAACAGTTTCCACTACATGTGACTGAAGGAAAAATATATCAAAAATATTTCACAAGTTTTGCAAATGTTCCACATAAAGTTGTCAGTTTTTAAAAGAACATGTTTTACTGCCTACATTCACTCATCTTATGCTCAGCCTGACAAGCCATGTGTTATTCTCTTTAGAGTTTCAGGTAATGGCAGAAAAACTACTGAAAATATTCAGATAGTGAAGGGGGGAAAAAAAACCCAGTGGAAAATCTGCCCAACTCCAGTTCAGGATTTGGTAACTGTAGGTGCAGCCAAGAGAGTGGGCTAAATTTACATTTAAGCTAAATGTGCACAGGAACTGAAAATCTATAAAATGATAAAGACTATGAGGCTTTATTTGAAATTAAACATTTTGAATATTTATACAATTTTGAAACAGATCAGGGGTGTCGAACTCCAGGCCTCGAGGGCCGGTGTCCTGCAGGTTTTAGATGTGTCCTTGATCCAACACAGCTGATTTAAATGGCTAAATGACCTCCTCAACATGTCTTGAAGTTCTCCAGAGGCCTGAAAATGAACTAATCATTTGATTCAGGTGTGTTAACCCAGGGTGAGATCTAAAACATGCAGGACACTGGCCCCTAAAGCCTGGAGTTCGACACCCCTGAGTTAGATGAATCATTGTCCCCAATTACCATTCAAGAAAACCATCCTTTTTTAATGGAGATGGATAATCCATTAAATTTAGTTCTAAAGCAAAGTTCTGATTCTACAACGCAGTGGTTCTTAACCTTGGATGAGTCCAAGCCCATTGCAACTTTTTCATAAACTCGTCATCCTGCCTGCTGTCCTGTTTGCTGCTGCCACTCTCTAAAGAGAAATCAGCTAATTTCATATATAATATCTGCTTACAGTTCATTCACAACTAAAAGCAACATAATGAGCAAAGTTAGGTTTTGTAAATAAAGTATTTGATCACGAGCAGCAAACCTTTTGAGCGGATGTGTGTTTGTGTGCATGCATGTGTAAAAAAGTTGGACTTTGTAAAGTCCTATCATGTTTTTCATAAAGCATGATCCACCATGGGTGGAGCAGACACCCCAGGCATCCTTGTATGGTAGAGCTTTGTCAATTAAAATGTAGCCATAACTTAAAGGATATCCTGCTTAAATCATTTTTTTTTTTACCGGTACACTAAATAAGGCCATACTTTACAAAATGAGCATTAATTAACGACATAAACTAGTAACTAAGACCATAAAATTGGTAAGGAAAGCCATTTAATGGCTATGAATCAACTGAGAAGAAAGGTTAGTTTCTCAAAAACCTCTGTTATCCAGGTTCTTTTGACAACTAGAGGAGTTGCTGTGCCCTGCTGGCCATCAGCGGAAGAAATGCGAAGAGTGAATGTCTGACGTCACTAGCCGTGTCTGGGCCTAAACTTGCTGCAGGTCCATATATCAAACGATCACTATGGCATTACTGAGAGTTGAAAAACTGTCTAGAGTCTTTCATCTTTAATAAAATGATCAGCGTTCTGCTCTACCAGGTGTAACAATTGAGTTTAACATCCAGGCATCCATGAAAACGGAATTAGAAGTTAGCAGGGAGTTAGCGCGCTAGCTTCTATCTAAATACAATATAGTATGTCCTGACTGCGGGGTTTTGGAAACAAATTAAAACGTACAGCTCTGCTATCACTTCCAACATAAATGAAGACAGAAAACTAAACAGCAGTGACGTTTGTAGGGTTACTGAAGTTGGGCTAGCTGGTATATAATGATGTGCTACGTGACCGCTAGCGACACAGCTATGTTAGCATAATATAAACAAGCTAACTTTTTTTCCACTCGATAAAAGTTAACGTGAGTTTTCTCGGTGGTCAGGAACAAATGTAATCGTATGGCAGGATGCTGTAAAAGGACCAAACTTCAGCCAGGAGAACAACTGAGATAATCCATCCACAATACGAGGTTAGTCATTCATATACTGCTGCATGGGCTGGGCTGTAGTTACATCCTAAACTGAGCTTAAATAAATGATTAGCAGTAATAAAAGCCGAGGGAGGTCAACAGGGATCACTGACTGTTTTAGGAGCTTTTTGAGATCAAATATCAGAAAATACATAACATTAAACATGTTAACAACACAAAAGCCATATTAAACGCAGACTACTTTAGACCCGGAAGTAGGATTCGTCGCGTCATCACTGAACAACCGGATAGTTTCACGCATCAGTTAAAACAGCGGTCCCCAACCTTTTTTGCGCCACGGACCGATTTATGCCCCACAACAAAATAAAACTAGCACCGGTACCGAAAAAAATAAGATTTATTCATAACACACGTGAAAAGACCCAGGAAAGCAGAGTTAACGATAAAAACGATAACAAAATAACGCTGAAAACCGATAAAAACCCTGAAAACCATACATTTCACACCTGAGCCTCAACTCTCGTGGCCCGGTACCAAACGACTCACGGACCGGTACCGGTCCGAGGCCCGGGGGTTGGGGACCGCTGAGTTAAAACACTCGACTCCAGGTACACGACGCCTAGCTGGAAACACTTCACACAAGTCGAGCTGCCCGAGATTCACAGAATTTACAGAAAATGTTACATTTTTGTGATTTATATCGTTATCGGGACGATAGATGTCTTATATCGGGATTTTGGTCATATCGCACAGCCCTAAGGGGCACCCTTTCATTTCTTAATTCTTATGCCCATCATTATCTTTAATTGAATTGAATTTAATTAATGCCTTTGTAGGAAATAAAATAATAGTGTCTGGATTCTAACATCGGTCATCTAATGAACATATAAAAAATAAGACTTCGTGTGTTCTGATTAATGTAAAACTATGACAGAGATATTTGTAGCTTCGTGTGGTACCTCTCAGTTTTTGGCAGGTGATTCTCTTCTTGTTTTAGCTCATAAAGAGGCTCAAATGTTAAAATAAACTATGTTTGCTAAATGTGAACGCCCAGAGGTATACACATGTAAGAGAACACAATAAAAGTGCTTTAAATGAGAAGGCATCCTGTGGAGTTTTTATCATTAGTATTATTGTTGTGGAGTTTTGCTTTTAATCACTGGGTATGTTTGATAATTATTCTTCATTAGCCAACTACCTTCCTCTCGTCCTGCTTTCTTAGTGTTGATTGGCTGTGGAGGATGAATTGCACTTATATAAAGCCACAGGGAGGCTGGAGTGGCTGTCTTCACTTGTTTTTCAATAGAGCTTTCAATAGAGCTGTCAGTCTCAAAGCAAACAGCTTTTCAACAATTTAAGTTTCACAGGCAATTTTCATTTTGTCATTTTTTGTCATTTTTTCCCTCATTCCTGACATTCCAACAAAAACCAAGTATTAATCATAATCCATAAGCGCTTTCCCTTCTTGGCTCATGCAAAGTTTAACATTAAATCACATAAACACTTTCAATAGCCAACAGATCGTTTTCATTTCCCCCCCCCCCACACACACACACACACACACACACAGCATTGTGTCCACATTCTGACATTTTTTTCTTTTGGGCTGTTTTTTATTGCACACACAGTTATTGCCAAAAACCCTTTTATTCAACAGCTGTTCTTGTAAATTTCCAGCTGTAACATGACAGGAAATTATCTGAAAGGTAATCTAGTTGAAGTAATGTAAACAGAGATCTTCAAGATTCCAGTTGTTGCTAAAAATAAGTCTTTCATATTATCTTTAGATGTGAAAGGGTTCTAGACTTTAGTCTTTTATAAGTGTTTTTATAGTTTTCTAGTGCATGGGCATTAGGTGACTGGCTTCAGTCTTAAAGAAGAAGCCTAAATTTGATAACTCACTCTGTGGTTTGGTTCAAGGCCTTCTTCTTTTGTTTGTTTTGGCCTCCTATAATTTTTTTTGTATTATTAAATCTGCTTTGAACTGAAGCAGCATGGTCGCATGCTCCTGCAGTATGATTAGTCTGTTAGCTACAGACTTGGGGCCTGAAAGAGCTTCCCCATTTTCTGTGTTTTGTGGCATTAAGGTACCAAGGAAAGCAGCAATTAATCATCAAAATGATACAGCTAGCAATAAAAACATAAATGGAAATAATGCAATTAAAATATGAAAGGAAACAGCTTTTCAGATAAGCCAATACAGTCGACATTTCTGGGGCGTAGAAGACACACGACGGGTTTTGGTGGGAAACAAAATGTAAACAGCCTTAAATCTGTCGGGTGCACCGTTTACTTAGGTGTTTGTGGAGTACACTCTGCAGCCCAACACAGGTCAGCGACAAAAGTATTACATAACCTAGTTCATCCTTAATCTGCCCAAAACTTGGATTTGAGTAGAAACAAAAAAAAGAAAGAAAAACATTGAACTAATATGAAAATACAAAAGTAGAACAAATTCCCTCTGATAAGATAAAGATAAGCTCCCAAGCTAAAAACTCAAGTCTGTTTGTCTGATCAGTTTTCAGAGATATTACACTAAACTTTGCTGCCATTTCCTCATTGATGACAAATCCCACTCATTACGTAGAGAGCACTGCTGGCGAGCTTGAGATGAATCTGTATGATTGAGGTCAACTAAAGGTAACTGCTTAAAAACAGAGTTTTGATGGAAACCATTTGTCTGATTGAGTCACCATAAGCTTGATATTATTTTTTTGTGTTATAAAATGATAGTTTGGGAACGGATCCTGATGTGCCACCATAAGGCTAAAAGCCTGTGTAGCTATATGAACACAAGCCTAGGAGAACTGTAAATGCTTGGATAGGTGGATTCAAGTATTTATTAAAATCTTTTACAAAATTATTGTGTTTCGTTTTTTAAGCAAAGACCAAATCATAATACATATTATTAAAAGACCTAATATGTTTTTTATTATACATATTTATTTATTTATTTTCACTGAAAGGGCATGGAAAATATTAATCAAAGGAGAAAAAAAATTTAAAGATTATTTGAAAATATATGTATATGTGAATAATGTGAATGGGATGCCGATCCTTAAGCAATACCTAAATGCTGTTAAAACCTGTCCTGTTATTTGTCAAAGGCAGCCAATCAGAAGAATGTGGGCCCATGGTAAAAGCAGACTTAAGGGAGAGGAAGCAGGCCTAAAACAGCCCAAAGCCCTGGAACTAGACAAAATTGAACTATAAAGTCTACAAATAAAACTATGGAGCTGGAAATGCGCATATCAAGTCCCATTCATGTAGGTAACATAAATACCTCCTGCAGTTTCTTGTCGATTTCCTGGAACACAGCATGCGCCTTGAACCCCTCCAGTCCACCACTTGCACTAGTGTCAATAGCTTGAATCCTTCAGATGATGAAGACAAATAAGAATAGGAAGGTGACGTTAGAGATAAAAAGAAAAGAATGAAAACACTGCCTAAAGTACCTAAAGTAACTTAAACTTGTAACTCTTCAGTAGTTTGGACACTACTATCGCATACTAAAACTGAAAAACATTTTCCACCTGGGCACATGTATTCTGAGTTGAGCTTTTTAACCCGCTGCTTAAAGATTCGCTTTTCCACCGAGCAACCGTGGATTTCCAACCACCGTTTACTCTTCCTACCGTATGAAGTGTAACTAGTCAGTGCTCCAGCGATGCTTGGTTGGATCATTTGTTTACATTTGGGTGGCAAATCACCAGCTGCTAGTGTTGTTGCCCCAACTTGTAAAACATATTTGTTAGTTCCACATTTAGCAGGAACAGTTATCTTGCATACTTTGCATAGCACTGTTGTTGGTTGGAGGTTGTTCAGGTAACTCCATTTCTGACTCTAACTGTCAGAAACATATGGGCTTGTCTCACTGTTGTGAGCGATAGGGGCATTAAACATGTGGCACCCCAATAACAATAACATTCCAATGTAACACTTTTATATATCACGTAAAATTTTACACTGGTATTATCACAGATGATATGATACGAGACAGCCCTACTTGAAAACACCACCGTGTATTTAATTGTGCAGCTATTTTAAAGCCCTGATGTAAAAATAACTGAGACACACAAAGCTCCAGGAAATAAAGAACAGTCAATAAACACCGTGTCAGAGGTTGGCAACTTTAAACACAACGATAGAGCTTTATCAATGGCTCATTAATGCCATGGTACATCTTTACTAAAAAAACACTGATTAAACAGTTTAGTGTTCACTCTTCGACAAATTTTTGTTCAGGACTTGTTGATCGCAGGGTACCTTCCTCATAGTTCCTCATGGTTTATTCTATCCATCATCATCAGCAAAATTCCCCATTGATGTGCCCTCAAGATGCTGCCCGTTTCCTTCACTCTCCAACATAGGTCGAGAGTGCCAACGTCTGCCTGCCACATAGCGCCAACCTGGGCTGGGCCATATCATACCATTCACGGTAATACCGGTATAATGTTGGGCAACGATAAGAAAATGAAATATCGCGATAGAATATGGGTAAAACGCGCATGCACAGTGGCTTTGTTTTCATACGTACATGGTGGAAAAAGCATGGCGGCGACGGAGAATGAGAAGGGCGAAAGCGGATCGTTGAATGAAACAGATGAACCAGAATTGGTTTGTAAAAATGCTGCAACTTCAGTGGTGTGGAACTGGTTTAGCTTTCGTCTGTCAGATACACAACAAAGCACTATTTTGGTAGAGCATGCTAGCGGGCCGTGGTTATTACCGTGTTTTTCGGAAAATAGTTTATAACCTCTTTTTAAGTTTTGTGGATATTATACATGGTTATGGTGAAGATATGTCGGCCAGTTTCCACTGGAAATGCCTTTTGGTTAAACTGTCAGCAAGGAATTTGCATTTGCACTGTTAAATTTTTTATATAACTTTAATGCACATAAAAAACAGCTGCTTGTTTAAGTGAAAATATATTTATGTTCTTTATTTTTTTTTGCACTAATAAAGTTGTGGAGTTGTAAAGTGTTTCGTCTAGTGTCAATTATATCGTCAGTTATATCGTTATCACAAATTTTCAAATGTATATCGTGATAAATATTTTTGGTCATATCGCCCTGCTCTAGCACCAACAGAACTAAATTAAGTTGAACGGTTGAAAGCTTAACTGAAATTAGAACAGCAAATGCAAACGTAAGAGACTTCAAGACAATGATGAGTTTGCAAAACAAATTAAACATAGAAGTCTTGTTTTTCCACATGTTATCTCTCACCCTCAGAACCTTTGGTACAAGTCTGTAAGTTGTTCCAAAGTGCAGGGCTAAAGACTCTGGTGAGGCAACATATGCACTCTGTACTGCTGAAAATGTCAGAATCTTTACACATATTTTAAATCTACCACTTCAACCAGGCTTTTGATCAAGATGACTTTTAGGCACTAATTAATTTTTATTTGTCTTTTCAACTTTTGCAGTCAGTATATTTTAGAAAAACTTTACCAGATTTTGCTTGAGTTTTAATTTCCCTTGTGTTCATTTTTTACAATATAAAAAAACAAACTTCTTTCATGTAAAAACACACCAGTTTGTTTTTAACAACAGGGTTTTGTGAATTTTTGGTATCTGGTATTTTGTTGCCTCTGGAGGCATTTTGTAAGGTGGATTTTCAAGCATGCCTTATAAATAAATTATCACATTTTTATACAGATCTAACGTAGAAGTGTCAAACTCACTTTAATTAATGGCCAGTGTGCAGCCTAATTTAATAGATAATAATGTAGTTTTCTTTTTTATGCAAGGAAAGACAAGCACATCCTAAAAACTCTCCCGTTGTGAACCATCTATTTACAAAAACAAATAATGAACCACCTGAGATACCTAAAAATTACCTACAGGACCAGAGCCAGGGCCGCATATGTGACACCTCTGTCTAACCTGTTAGTCAGGATTCAGGCAGCAACTCCACATGACATCCAGCTTGACATTTACACAAAGAACAAGCAGGGATGCCACCGTGTGATGACCCTCAAAGAGCTCCTCAGCAGCTGAGATATTTAACATGCCAACCGGAAGCTTGTATGAAAAAACCAAAAGAGCTAACGTTGTTGCAATTTTTGACATTTAACCTGTTTTTCAGCTAACCAGGACAGCAAACGGTGAGCTCAGAAACGTGCCGTAGTTAAACAGTGCAAGCTGTGCTTTTCTCACCTCGGTCTCTGTAATTCGGGCATTTTGCTGTGAGTGTAGGTGAACAAACAGCTCCTCGGTATGTGTGGAAGCAGCAGAAGGAGTGATGTTGCTTGCACTTCACCTGCTATTAGCTTAACGGCTGCACTTCCTCGTTTCTTGCACTTTCCCGGATATTCAGACTCGACCTGTCGATGTCAGATAAACCAGATTAGCTGCCTGTCCTATGGATTCACTTGGTAACATCTAGTTTACATGTGCTTGTTCAGATAATTTTCTTAAACAGATCCGTAGGGTTAAATTACAGAGATTTTTTTTGTTACAATTAGTAACCTGATCCACTAAATTTATTCATACCAGCTATTTAAATATAACCGTATATAAAAGCAGGCGTTATTAATCAGTAATTCAGGCTCTGTACCTTTGTATGACCAGGTACAGGGACCCACAGAAAATAAGATTATTTAAAGATAAAATACATTTAGTGTAAAAAAAAAATAGGTTGACAATTATTTTCATACTGAAAGAAACGCCAGAGCACAAGAGTTTACACATTTATGTTCAAATGAATGTTTTGCAAAGTGATTAAGTGCGTATTATTTATACTCTGTTGTCTTTACTGTCTTTGTTTTACTGAAGTTTTATTGAATCTGTTTTATCCTTTTGCATTGTTGCTTGATTTGGTAATATGATTCTGAAAAACAAGAGTTTGTTAGGACTTCTGGCAAAAATTGCCAGCAAAATCTCAGGTGATTGGCAAGACAGGCTTTTGACTTTTTATAACAAGCATGTACTGAGGGAGGTTCCTTCTATTATTCATTGTTTGAACTACCCACTCCGCAGTGAGTTTGACTCTTTGCCCTCTGGCTGTCATTTTAGAGTATATCAGTAGGACCAAAAGACTCCAGGTTTCTTTTATTCGTACTGCAAGCTGTCTTCTTAATGGCAAATAGCCATTTTGTGGCTTTTTACTGTTGTTGTTTTTATTCTCATTTTATTGTTTTTATTTTTATTTATTGGGACTTTATTTTATTGTTGTGCACTCACTGGGTATGTGTCTGTCGTCCTTGTTGCCCCTGCTGCTAAACTAATTTTCTTTTGTGGGACATATACTGAAAGTACATACATAAACGTGTTGTGTGTAATCATATACATAATTACAGATTCATTAATGTCAATTAATGTTTCTGCTGAAGCTCTTTTATGTCATTATTATCGTCTTAGTTTAACCTGTTAGCCTGTTATTATTGGTGATGAAACATTTGCATTAATTTAAAAAAGTATCTTCAGTGGTTGCTTTACAGTTTAAAAGACCCCTTCAAAAGGATTTGAGTGGAAATGTTTCTGTTATTTCACAGCATAGGTTTTGTGCAAAAACAGACCCAATATTTTCCTATCAAGAGCATCTTTAACTCGCACAGAAACAGAATATATATATATATAGATAGATAGATAGATAGATAGATAGATAGATAGATAGATAGATAGATAGATAGATAGATAGATAGATAGATAGATAGCTTATTACATTACAAATATACTAAAGTTATTGGTAGGCAGTTTCAGATCTGACTTATTTATATGGTGCTTGATGACTGCTGGATGTCAGACAATTAGCAATATATATGTTATATATTTTGCTGTAGGCTCTGTAGTGAGGCAGAGCAGAATGAGGCAAACATCTGAAAATCTCATCAGTCTAATGGAGACCCAGTGAACTATAACCCTGTCTGCTTTTGTAGAGAAGCACATAGGGAGGCCGGGTGCCTGGCTGGGTGGGCTTCAGATAGCAGCAGAGGGCTCACGGCCAACCATCTAACTCATGCTGGCTTGATTACTCCCTCACTTATCACAAATACGGGCTCAGCGCCATGGGAAGCCAGCCGCTGCTGCTGGTACACTTCAGCGAGCTGTTTTTTTTCCTGCAGCTGATGTGTGTAGCGGAGGTTGAGCTCCAACCACAAAATCACTGAACAGGAAAACACTGCACTCTACTGGTCCAAAGGTCGCATAATGCCATGGTTTTACCCTCTTGTGTGGGCAAAGTTCTTATTACTTCTTTTTACTTTAATGCACCACATTACCAGGATTGAAAACAACAGAGCCACAAGAATCGTTTGAGGCAAAATTGTTAAAGGTAAACAAGTCCTGAAAATTAATAAATCATCAAACCTTTGCTTTTCTCCACACACCATTTATATATTTTTGAATAGAGATTCATGAATGTACTGAAAACTTTGTCTCACTAACACTGAGAAATTATTTACCCATAAAATCCCCTGGGTAGGAAATAATTAATTGGAAAAGAGAACATTCCTCATGGTTTTTCTTAAAATCGTTTTCCTATTTGCCTTCCTTTTGCTGTGCTTGTTGTGTGTACTTGTATTTCAAGTTATGTAGTGATGCATAAAGTCCTGATGACTTTTACCTAAAATATAACATCAGTTATATAGATGGTACGAATGCAGGCTTTTTCTAATAGAAGGTGCAAAAAAACCACCAAATATTTTACAGATACTGATCTTTACCTAATACAACGTATTTTAAAGGTAATACTGAATGTGTCATGGCACAGTGGCCCATGGAAATGGGATGGACTCAAGTGCAGTTTCAAAACCAGAGGCTTGAAGTGCGGTGTAACAAAAGTCTTTATTCACAACGCTTGGAAGCTAACAGAAAACTCAGACTAGCATTAAGGAACGTAAACTAGACGTCTGAGGCAAGAGAAACTATGGCCATAACAAAACTATGACTAGATTGCAGGGACAACTGGGTGCAGGGACTGTGCAGGGGAAACTGTGGCTGGCCAGGGCAGTGCTTGCAGGTGGAGGATGCTTGGAGGGGGGGAGGCAGGAGACAAAGGTCCAGGTGGGTACTACGTGCAATGCAGGGAGGCAGGCAGGAGAGACTGGCAGTTTGAAAAGGGAGAGGTTACTGGCAGCTGCATACCAGAATCCAGGAGAGCTTGTACAGATGAGGATTGGTAGGTGGGTTCCAGATGCTGACGAGAAAACAGAGGACTAAGGCAAGTAGACACGATGATACACCAAGGAACAGACATGAGGCTGAGAACGGACTAAAGTTGGCAGATAATCTGGTAAAGACTAGTTGTGTGCAGGTCATAAATACTGCTGGTGTGATTGCCAGCAGGTGAGGAACAACAAAGACTCCACCCAGAGAGGAGGAGCCGATGCAGTGGAAAACTACCCAGACCATGACAGAATGGCTGTTTGAAGTATGTAAAAAAAGTTGTTTTAGAAGCCAGTTATCCATAATTATTCCAACTTTTCCAACTTTTGACTGACTTAATTATTATCACCTAAAAAGTTGTGGTAATTTAACTTAATAGTTAAAAAGATTCTATGAACTTGAATATTTTTATTTCTTTAACTAAAACTTTCCTTCAGCTGCTCACTTATTCACAAGGTGTCACTACAGCAGATGGAGCCGCATATTTGATTTGGTAGATTTTTACACCATGTACCCTTCCTGACACAACCTCCAAGGGATTTGTGTGTCCTCCCAGCCTTCAACCAGGGAGACTTTGCATGTTAGGCAAAGGTGTAAACCACTAACTCTATGGACCCACCAAATTGATTGTTTAATCTACTTTTTTTCCTTTTACAGTTTTTCTTGATTGCTTAAACACATTTCTTGAAACTATGCCTCGTATTCCCAAAACAGTAAACACAAATCCATAATGTCTCACCCAATTTCCCAAACATCGTATTGTCAGGTCAAAATGAAGCTCTGCACCCAAAACTATTAACTTTTGCTGAAAAACCAAACTTTGCCCACAGACAGCACACACAAGGCCTCAAAAACACACACACACAACAACATAGTCTTACACATTGGTGCAATAAATGTTAAACAATATTCCCAAAACTGGCAAGTTATGTTGCTTGTGGTTCTTCCCCTCAAAAACCTTTTCACATGATGAACATAAAAGACACAACCAATGTATATACAGTGGCACATTTTTTTATCCATGTACCATACAGTACAACACACACCAAAAACATTATTCCACGTCAGCATCCTGTGTGTGTTCTGGGTCAGGCCAGAGAATCTCATCCACATCATAGGCTATATTGGCCCTGGCCAGGCAGCGGGGGTAAACTCCTCTTGCAAGCCTGATCCACCCCTGGCATGCATCTACTGGTATGTCTAGGCAGGCCTCTTCCATGGCCTGGAGAAGGTGAACACGGACATAAGGTTCTCAGTCATACACCTTCCACCACCATGCCGAAAACAACTCCTCTATCTACCAGTCATGAACCATAGCAGCGCGATGGAAGCTGACATTATCCCAAACAACAACGTAGCGAGGCTGCTCTGGCTGTGCTGGTTCCCTGTAGTTCAGCTGTAACATATGTCGTCTTAGACCATCAAGAAGAGCAAGGAGAAGTGTTATAGGGTCCTAGAATGGCATGGCAGTGGAGTACCCCTCATTGGCTGATGGCTACGCACAGAGTGATATTCCCTCCACGCTGACCAGGGACATTTACAATAGTCCGATGGCGAATTATGTTCCTCCTCCTCCTCCTCAACTTGCATGTCTTTGGATCCATTGTTTTAAACTTGAATGAACTGGCTTTGGCCCTTTTATCTATCCATCAAAGTTTCTGATTGGTGTGTGATACATTTCAACTCCTAGTGTTTACACTTGGCTAATTGTGTGCTAATTGAGCTAAAGCTGTGCTGATGTGAGTTAATATTATTGACTGCCAGTGCTTTCTAAGTGACCACATGGAGTAAGCACTGACAAATGTAGGGATTTGTTTGTAGAGTTTTGTAGTAACAGTTCACCACATCTGACTCATGTGGTAAAGCAGGGACATAGTGTTTATAGTTCAGGGAAATAGGTGTGCTTTTTGGAAAGTGGCATTATGGTTTTGAAATTTGGGTTCAAAAGATTGGTTATAGTGTTTAAGCAACTGAGAAAAACTGTAATATTTTGCAGTTGTGAGCCCCTTCAAATTGTAACTTTATAGTATTCACTGTTGTTTCAGAGCGTGAGGATTAATTCCTGTCAGGCTGAGGACCGTATTATTTATTAAATTCAACAAATATGATCAAGAAAGACAGAAAGAGTTAACCACCCAACACCTGTTTGAAAGATAATGGAATCTTCTTTGCCATTAATATTTTCTCGAGTGTCTGGAAAGTTAAGCTAAAATATTATCTTTCATTATACTTGTTGTTCTTTGTCAGCACAGATAGGGACAAAAAGAGCTGTAAAATCAACTTCAATCTTCAAGGAGACAAAAGAATGATCATGGAATGAGTATCTAAAATAAGAGATTATGTTTAACTATGTTTAGTTGCAGGTGTGTGAGGAGATGAAGAAAGAATAACACAGCACTGTATTAAACCCAGAGTAAAAGATGGTTTGGGAAATAGTGAAGCCTGCCGAGCTGGTTTGGTAGCCTAGATTGAAGACAGATGATACTCTGACAGTTCACATGCTCCGAGATAATAGTTCATATCTTTGTGAAAAGCAGTCAACCAAAAGCCTTAGATTTTTCACGAACGTAGTGAAAACAAATCAAGTCCACGTATGCAAACAAGCTTGCAGCTTGAATGCTGTTGTCATTAAAGCAAAAGGGAGTTTCACTCTCATCTTGTTGACATTATCATTATAATAAGCTTTTTGAAATCAAAACAAATATAAAATGCAATACAAGTGTCTTTTAGATCAAAGCTTATTTAACAGGACTAATTTCATTTCAGGTTATTTTACTGCAGCATAAGCCAAGTTATAAATCTTTAAATTTGATATAACTGAATAATTGACACTGTCATGGGCCCTTATTTTAACAATATATAGGCTTTAGATATTTATTATTTACAATAAAGAAACATGTATTTACACCCTTACAAGACTATACCGGAAATCTAGAGGCAGGACCAGAAGGAGTCACGTGACACGCTCTACTGGTTAAACTTCCTGTTGTCACTTTAGTTAATTATTTCTTTCTATTTTTTTTCCCTTCTAACGTTTTCCTTTACTTTTTAAAATTATAAAGTCGAGTTATAATACGTGGCGTTTATTTTCCTTTGCTAAACCTTTCCCGAGTGTCTGTGAAACGAAGCGGTACTCTAAGGAAGTTTAACCGGTTGCTAATGTTAGCTAGTTAGCTGGCGTATCTTTCCTTCAGCGACAGGTGAAAGCTCGCTCCGTCCAGGCTTACCTTTTACCTGTTAAAACCGTTTTTCCCGTCGTGCTTTACGTTTGTAGCCTCCTGTAGGTGATCAGTTTACAAATCAACACCATGGCCGGTCTGCTTTCATTGCATTGTGTCGCCTCTCTCAAGAAGTCCGGGAGTCTAATTCATTTTAGAAGCGCTGCTCTGGGGGTTCATATGAGACACTATAGCAGCAAAAAGGCCCCCTTTTCATCATCTTCGGAGTATCTGCACCAAAGCGTCGTGCCTTCCATGCATTACCAGAAGAGTTTACCCAGGTAAGACGTTTTGTGACGAATTTGGACACATTGCTTTTTCATTTTCTCCAAACATGTCGCGCAAACTCAAAAAAATCTGTGGTTTCATGTGCACCGGAGATGTCCAGCAAACAAAACAAAAAGGTGTCCTGAAATAAAGGTGACCCATTTAGCTTTTAGATCGATGTAGGTAAAAGGGCATGCTTGCGCTAAACTCGGTGACCACTAGAGGGTGACATGAATTATGATTAATGACGCTTAAAAAAATAGGTGTGTGAAAACAGTTCAGATTTTGTGCAGGAAACATTATCCAGATATTTCAGTCCATAAGATGGCATCACACAGTTGCTGCACATCCATGATGCAAATCTCCCATTCCACAACATCCCAGACTGCTCGGTTAGATTGAGATCCGGTGACTGTGAAGGTCATTTGAGCAGAGTGAACATGGTGCTTTATTCTCCTGGAGGCAGCCATCAGAGGATGGGTACACTGTGCCCAGAAAGAGATGGCCATGGTCAGCAGTAATACTCGGGTACGCTCTGGTGTTTAATCAATGCTCAGTTGGTACGAGATGCCCAAAGTGTGCCAAATAAACATTGCCCACAGCATTACATGATCACCATAGCCTGAACCATTAATACAAGGCAGGATAAACCATGCTTTTGTGTTGTTTATGTCTAATTCTGATCCTGCCGTCCAAATGTTACAATAGAAATCGAGACCCATCAGACATTTTAAATGAAATAAAAAGAAGAAAATGTCCCTAGTTTAAGAAAGCTGTTGAACATTTGGTTCTTGAACATGGATCACCACATCACAGTGGGTGCTCTCTTCCGTTAAGTTGTTTTTATTATAAAACATACAAATGAATCGAATAAAACATGACTGACTTCATTTCCCTTTTGCTGTTTAGATTGCCCATACCAAAACTGGAGGATACTATCAGGAGATATTTGGCTGCCCAGAAGCCTCTTTTGGATGATGACCAGTTCAGGTGAGTTTCCACAAGTTAAATCAAACTTTTTATTTGATTATTTAAATGCTTTAAACCTAGTTGGAGCCATTGTTGTCATGTATCTGCAGAACAACAGAGAAACTTGCTCAGGATTTCCAGAATGGTGCGGGAAAGCAGTTGCATGAGGAACTGGTTGCTCAGGATAAAAACAATAAGCACACAAGCTACATCTCAGGTAACTATGACTAGCCTAAAACTGAGCATCAAAGATGGAATAATCACTGTTAAATGAGGTTAAAAATGTTCTTTTGTGTCACAGCTCCCTGGTTTGATATGTATCTGTCTGCACGTGACTCTGTGGTGCTCAACTTCAACCCTTTCATGTCCTTCAATCCCGACCCAAAGACTGAGTACAATGACCAGCTGTTGCGGGCGACCAACATGGTGTGTTCAGCTGTGCGCTTCATGAAAACGCTACGAGCCGGTCTGCTGGAGCCAGAGGTTTTCCATCTGAACCCAGTCAAAAGCGACACGGACAGTTTCAAGAACTTTATCCGCTGGGTCCCATCTTCACTGTCCTGGTATGGGGCCTACATGGTGAATGCATACCCTTTGGACATGTCTCAGTACTTCCGCCTCTTTAACTCAACTCGGATTCCTAAGCATGGGCGAGATGAGCTCTTTACTGATGAGAAAGGGCGACACCTTTTGGTTATGAGGAAAGGAAACATGTACGTGTTTGACATAATAGACAGGGATGGGAATTTAGTGAAACCTGCAGAGATCCAGTCCCACTTGAAGTACATTTTGTCTGACTCGACACCGGCACCAGCCTTCCCTTTGAGTGTTCTGACCAGTGAGAACAGGGACGTGTGGGCAGGGCTCAGGGACAAGCTGATTGGTGCTGGAAACGCAGAGGATTTACGGGTCGTGGACAGCGCCCTTTTCTGTCTCTCCCTGGATGACGAGAGCATGCGGGACCATATTCACATCTCCCACAACATGCTGCACGGCAACGGCTGTAACCGCTGGTACGACAAGTCCTTCAGCCTCATTGTAACCAAAGACGGACAGGCAGCTATTAACTTTGAACATTCCTGGGGTGACGGCGTCGCTGTGCTTCGCTTCCAGAACGAGGTCTTTAAGGACACCACCGAGAAGCCACTAGTGCACCCAGGTTCGGCTGCTGCTGCTGTGGATTCGGCCTCTGCTGTGCGCAGATTGCAATTCAAGCTGAACAAAGAGCTGGAGAATGGCATCCAAAAGGCAAAGGAGAATATTGACTCTGCCGTATCAAAACTCACTATTGACGCCATGGAGTTCAAAAGAGGTGGGAAGGAACAGTTAAAGAAGAACAGGCTGAGTCCAGATGCTATAGCCCAGCTGGCTTTCCAAATGGGCTTTCTGAGGCAGTACGGACAGACTGTAGCCACGTACGAGTCGTGTAGCACTGCAGCTTTCAAGCATGGCCGCACAGAGACCATCCGACCAGCGACTGTACAAACCAAAAAGTGCTCACATGCTTTCGTTCAACAGCCTGGCAAACACAGTGTGGCGGAGCTGCAGGCCATGCTCGATGAATGCTCCAAATATCATGGGCAGCTCACCAAGGAGGCAGCTATGGGTGCGTGTGACATGTCAGCATGCAGATAAATTATGGTGATTTTGTACACCAGTAAACGCAGTGTTTTAAACTGCAGATATCTCTGATGGTAATTATCTGTCATAGCAACAACACATCATAACAGGCCAAATCAGTAGTTTATCTGAGCTAAATATTTAAACCATAAAACGCTATAACCATGTTTAAACATTTCACAGCCCTCCCAAGATGATTTAATCAGAACCAAAGGGAAAAAAACACCTTTAGTTTGGTTCTTTGTCCTCCTGCACCATCAGGAGTTGAGCAATCGATCTTTGCACACAGACATTTTTTATTTTATTGCTCTAAATGTTCTTATCTGTACCAAATATTATGTAATCATCATGTTGCTGTGTGTTTAGGATTTGTGCACTTGTAATGCTTTAAAAAAAAGTATATTTCTCAACAATAGCATCTCATTTACAGTTTAAAAAGTTGAATTTGCTGTAATATTTAATAAACAGTTTGCCAAGTAACCACCTAGTAATGGGCTAAAAGGACCCATTTTTATCAGCTGAACATCATCTAAGTGACCATGTGATTAAGTGTATAATTTTGCCCACACATTGAACAGGCCAAGCAATACTGTAGCATGGCCATGTAATAGTTAAAAATATAGCAGCATATGTTAAAAATGTAAATCTTTTTAACATATTCAGGGAGAAACAAACACATCAAAGTGTATGGTCTTAAAAACACAATGTATGATTGTCACTTACTTTTTTAGATTTATTCATTTATATTTAATGATACTTAGGTAATTTTTTTGGCCTTTATGACTTGGGCTCTCTCTCAGAGCTCAAATCGCACTTCAGTCTGACATATGCAGATATCTGATTTACAAAAACTGGGATTCTCAGTTTTAGCATTTTTCTACTAAATGGATGAGCAAATATGTTTTGATATTAGCTTATTAGACATAGAGGGGCACGGTCTGCAATATGAAATTTCAGGAGGTTTTTTACAGTAATGCAAGCAAGGTTAAGTCATAAGTCTTCTTATTCACCATAATGTGTGACTTTATTAAAGAATTATTTTCTTGAATGCATTGTTCGATATAAAAAACTGAAGTGTTAAGATAATGACTGATTAGCACTTTTTATTACACACAATGCTGACCTGAGAACAGTTCCTTCACTAACTGCTCTTTTTGCATCTCTCTCCAGGTCAGGGTTTCGACCGTCACCTGTTCGCGATGCGATACCTGGCCGCCTCAAAGGGCCAAGCTCTGCCCAGTCTGTACACTGACCCAGCTTACGCCGCCATCAACCATAACATCCTCTCTACTAGCACCCTCACCAGTCCAGCTGTCAGTCTCGGCGGCTTTGCCCCTGTGGTACCTGATGGTTTTGGTGTCGGCTACGGCGTCCACGACAATTGGATCGGTTGCAACGTATCTAGTTACCCGGCTCGCAACGTCCATGAGTTCCTGCAGTGTGTCCACAAGTCTTTAGAGGACATTTTCACAGTGCTGGATGGAAAGCCACTGAGCTAAGAGTGAACAAGTGTACTTTTACATATTAATAAAGGTAAGAGTAGGAAGGAAATTCAGGGAGAATAGAAAGGATGGGGAAAACTGAAGGGCAGCTCTTTGAAAACAAAGTTTCCTCTGTCATCCCTTAGTTATATATGCGTATCATAACAACTGTTCGGTGATGAATAGGACCGCTGGTGTGCGGCAGAAATCATAACCAGTTATTTTGGTAAAACTTGATATTCTAACATTTTGGTGAAAAATATCCAACTGTAATGAAAAAACATCAGCAACTTCATCTATAACACTACAAAATGAGAGAATCAAAGAAAAATCAAGTGTAGCAAAATACATTCTTATCTTTTCATATTCACTTTCAAGCCCTGAAAACAATAACAATAATAATAATAATAATATACAACATATTTTATTTACCTTCATTGAAAATTTGCTCGTGTTTGACTTCCTCAGCCCACAGTTATTCCAAATTCCCATTCAGACATTTGTGACCAACTCTTACATACATGCTGATGTTAGTGTGCTGTGGCCTAATGTTACTGTTAGCTGCGATTTAAGGTTGTTCATCCATCCATCCATCCATCCTCATCAGGGGGAGGGAGCCTATACCAGCTACCATGGGGCAAGAGGCAGGGTACATACTGGACAGGTCACCAGTTTTTCACAGGGCTAGCACATAAGAACAGACAACCGTTTGCACTCACATGGGCAATTTGGAATTATCAATTAACATAACCCCACTAACTGCATATCTTTGGACTGTGGGAGGAAGCCAGAGTACCTGGAGAGAACCTACGCAAACACGTGAAGAACATGCAGAGGGGCCTTCGCATGTTCTCCAAACTCAGCACCTTCTTGCTGTGAGGCAACAGTTTAAATATAATCCTGCCCCTACACAACTTGTGGTTTCTCAAGGAGGGTCTCCACATTAAACTTTTTTCTTAAATGGAAGTGAAATACGAAGCAAATTTCCACTAATTAATGGCCATGATACACGTAATGCATATATAATATAGCTATCTTACAGTGTTATGAAGTGACACAGAGGTCTATTGAGTTACTGCTTATGTCAGAGAAATGAGGGAATCGTTGCTCTGTAAAAGGCCATAGGAAGGGTGTAGGGAGTGGGTTGAACTTGGAGCTCTGACTCTAGTTGGTCATTCATGCAGTTAAACTTCTCTGCAATAGTTGCCAGTCAGGATGCAGAGGATGTGCCTTTTTTTTAATGATGTGAAGCTCAACCAGAGCATTTACAAATCACCACTGTAATACACTGAACTGTCATTAGTGTTAGATTACAGCCATTTGTTGTGCTTGAATGTATTTTGAAATTAAAAGTTAATTACCTCTGCTCTTTTATTTGCCCTTGTGATTCTTTACAGACAGCTGATCATTTAAGGCAACACATATTCTTTAACCAAATCACTCTTTATTTAAAATAAAAAATAGTTCCACCAAAAGCAAATGTACAAATGCGGTAGTACAACAGAAACATCAGCTAAAGTAATTAAAATGAGCAAAATCCAGATTTTAGATGGGCTTGATCTTGAAGTGTAGGCCGATCAGACTGAAAACAAGACATTTCAGATCTTGCACCAGGTAGTAGAACACACGAAGGCCCTCAGGGTCCCTAAAAACACATGTGTGCTTACATCAGTAGCAAATACAATTTACTTTCCACTTCCCAACTCCTGAATATATTACTTACTTTGACTGATTGACGTCAATCAAGGAGCCAATTTTGGAAGTTGTGAATGAAATGTGCTCGTCCCCGATGACAATTTCGAGTTCCTGTAAAAGATGAGACAAAAAACAGGCCTCAGAAAATTATCTTGGGAGAAAATCATCAGTGCAGAGTTGATGAAGGTGAAAATTTAGGTCACTTTCTTTCATAAGTAGAAAAGTTTAGGTCATTTTCAGAGTGCTCTCAACTTTATTCTTTCTCCACTATGATCTTATTGGTCACAGAAAAATCCATTTGGTTGACCTTCTGTCCGCACAGGTTTGAATTAAAGGATGAACTGCAGTTGACTGCTCACTTTTAAGTAAAGTAGCCAAAGACCTTATCAAACTGGGACATTTCTTCCACCTTCCGTGTTATTATCTGCATGCTCAATTTGCAAAGGGTTAGAAAAACTAAAACTAAGAGTATAACTATATTAGAAAATGATTCTTTCATAGAAGGACATCACACTCAGAAGATAAGCCTGAACTTTCAAACAATAACTTGTTTTAAGCAGCCATTTATCCCAATGGATGATATGACCCTTGAGCAATCACTCCAGGTATGTACTAGGAAACAGAACAAAGATCTAGAGTATGAATGACTGACTAAATGTTTATCAGTTTTGCTATTGGAACTATAACATATTCCAGGATATTGAAGTAAAAAAAAACTGCCAAATTTATTCACACCACTATTTAGGGCTTGTAAATCATAAAATATTCAGATTGTGAAAGTATAACTTTGCATGGAGATATTAAACAGAGTGCAATTACAGTATCAGCAAAATCCAACTGATGCTGTAGGGTCATCAAGTCAGATTTTTCTTTTTTAAATCTTCCACAGATGGAAACGATAAGCCTCAGTATAACCATGAGGTCTAAGCGTACCCAACCCAAACCAGGAAGAAAATGGAATAAAAGAACAGAAACAGTCCACTTCTCAGCAGTTTTCACTACTGGATAAACTTAGTGTGGTTTGGGTGAGGGAGCTGCCTGGATACAGCATGCAAAAGGCAGGATTGAGAATCACCACTCTCAGCGAAGGTACCAGAATATTTTCACAACAGCACACAGGCTGTACTTGCGATGTGGAATAGTTAAAGACCGCCTTGGACAGTTGCCTATTGCAATGTACCTCGAAAACTTTAAATCTGCATGGCATGAATGAAAATAGCTCAAACTGTAATAACTGGGAGGACACGGGGTAATAAAGAGGTCACAAACCTGTCTGCCAACTCTATCAGGAGGCGGCCACAGAGCATCATCTTCCTTGGTGATTTCACTGTCGTCAATGATCCTCTTCAGCTCCTCCATCACACTTTTGTGAACATATGCCTGGTTGGCACACCGGAAAACGCACAAGTCAGATTTAAATTTGTACATTTCGAGAAACAGCATTAATTTATAACCACATACATGTTGTTTAAGCATGATGACCGAAACTACTTCTCGAAAAATAACCAAACAACCAGCTCTTACTTTACGGATATCTCACCACCCCTTACACATACATTTAAAATCAATCATACGTTACCTCTTTCCTGATCATTACGTCATTCTTGTAGTTACTGTTGTTTGCATATCTCAGTTTACCTGCGGGGGGAAAAAAGATTAACTTTAACGTGGGAAACTGTGTATCGTGTCGAACAAAACGCCCGAGTTTGTTATCAATCGCTACAGGCCGCATGGCGCGTACGCACTCACAGGATAAACTCAAAACATTACTGCTTATATTCTAAACCACACGCTATGGTAATAATTATCTTATTTATATAAAAACAAAGTTAGTAATCAGCATTACTCCTGCAGCTAAATCCAAACGGAGAATTTGGCTCTTTGACTCCACTGCGGCCTAGCTAAACCGGTTAGCTTCGAACCACGGACAGCTAACGCGTCTGTATTGCCGCTCAAATTACACTTACCGTCAGGCCTGAACTCAAATTCTAGAAACTCATGTCCAAACTTCCCCTTGTGTCCGACATAATATCTCAAATAAAAGTCGCTTGTTGACATCTTTATTCTACAGAAAGCGTTTTCTGCGCAAATCCGATGAACAAAACTGAGCTAGCAAGAGCAGCCCAGAGCCTCGCCAACCGTATACGCATGCGCAGAGGATTATAGATGCGGGGCTTTTTTGACCAAAGTTTTGTCTTAAAGGTCATATTCCCGCGATAATTCAGTCATTTTTTTTAACTTTAAGAATTTAGACTTAGGGTTTCTTTTTTTTAAAGTTTGTGTCAGTTTTTTAAGTTAACTAGCAACTTTTTTCTTTTATGCCTTTAAAATATTCATTATTTGCACATCGATTTATTTTTAGTTTGATGCATCTTTGATTGTTTGTTAGTTCAGAAGTATAAAATAAATGTTATTTTTTATTCATTTAGTCACCTATTTTTGGAATAAAACTCCGTTAATAAATACAATTTCTGGCTTCCTCTTGGGGTATGTATAAATCTATGACAAGCCCCAAGAATGTGCTTTTTAAGACGCCAAACCATAATCCTCAACAACTTCTACAGATGTACAGTATGGAACAATTCATTACTGAAGCACAACATTGTTTATTAGACTCTTCTGGTCCTCTGTAAATCTTCTAAATGGCTTTGTTACATTACAAAAGAAAAAGAAACAGTTGAATAATTATATCAGTAATTAATTGTTAATTATTTCCAATTTTGTTCATTTGTTTGCTTGATTTTACTTAAGCCATCAATTCTTGGTTGGTGTTTCTGCATTCATTTATCATCAGGTTCTTCCTGAAAGAACTCACGCAGGGCTGAACTTTGCAGCGTCTTTATACGTGTCGCATTTTTCTAACGTCATCAAACCGCTCTGGCGCACAGGAAGAGTCTGCACGTGTGGTGGTTGTAAACTTTGAGCCATGGCAGGCGCGTTTTCACAGGAGCTTGAGGATCTGTTGAATCCTTTGCCAAAATTCGTGGATCCGGAAGATGATGATGACGAGGCAACCAAAGCCAGAGTGGTGGACCGGTTCAATGAAGACGACGACAATGAGGATGAAGATGCGGCCGGCCTCAGCGCTCTGCGGAAGCGCAACACCTCCCTGCTTTCGGACACAGATAGACGGTATGTGGGAAAGCCAGTGTCCCGAAAGCAGCTGCTTAGAGAGACTGAGGAGGATGAACATGATGTTGAGGAGGAGGAGGAGGAGGAAGAGGCAGAAGGTGACGAAGATGATTCAGTGGGGGATGAAGAGGCAGATGACGATGAAAATGCTTCAGAGGAGGAAGACGATGATGAGGAAGAGTTGTTGATGGGCAGTGATTCAGAACTCGATGTTAATCTAGCTTCAAAGAAAAAAGCAACTGACATCACCTTTCCTCAGAAAGTAGACTTCCATAAACTGACAGAAGGTATGGATGACCTGGGAATGAGCGAGGATGATGATGAAAGCCATGAGGAGTCTGAAGGCAGTGAAGAAGAGGAAGGCTCTGATGATGATGATGATGAGATGGAAAGCGAGCAAGAGGATGATGATGATGGAGTGGTGCGCACGTTTTCCCAGGACAAAGTAGATGAGGAGGTGGAGAAAGGAAAGGCGGTGAAGAACCAACTGGCCCTGTGGGACCAGCTGCTCGAGGGCCGGATAAAAATCCAGAAAGCTTTGGTGACTGCCAACCAGCTTCCTCAGCCACAGACTTTCCCAGAGTTCAAGAGGAGAGGTGGGGGGGAGTTCACAGCGGCGTTGAAGAACACTCACAAGGCTCTGAAGGCTCTTCAGAGGTCCCTGCTGGAGTTGCATGACCAACTTCTGCACCAGAACGCTGACACGAGATCCATCGACACAGGGGAAGACGAGGAGATAACCAGCGACGATGAAAAGGAGGGATCAGCGCAGCAGGCCAGAGCGCCCAAACGAAAACTGGAGATGGCAGAGTACCCGGACTTCATGGCCAAACGGTTTGCAGCTTTCCAGCCTTACTGCAATGCCACGCTGCAGAAGTGGCACGACAAAACAAGGCTGACGATGGGCAAGAGCACCAAAGGGTTTGGGGCGTTTGAGAGGAACATTCTCACCCAGGTGGAGCAGGTGCTGATGGACAAGGACAGGCTGTTGAAGCGGACCCAGACCCAGCGCTCAGAGTACCGGGTCCTGGGGAAGGTGGAAGCCCCTGCTCTCACATCTGAGAACATCCCCATGGAGGGAGGCGAGGTGTCGGAGCAACAGCTGAAGTCCAACACGCATCTGAAAGATCTCGATGAGGACATATTTGATGACGACGATTTCTACCACCAGCTGCTGAGAGAGCTGATCGAGCGTAAGACGAGCGCAGCGGACCCCAACGATCAGGTGGCTATGGGCCGGCAGTGGCTGGCCATCCAGAAGCTGCGCAGCAAAATCAAGAAGAAAGTAGACACTAAAGCCAGCAAGGGGCGCAAAGTCCGGTTCCACATCCACAGCAAACTGGTCAATTTCATGGCGCCGATTGACCACAGCTCGATGAGCGACGAGGCCCGCAGCGAACTCTACCGAAGCCTGTTTGGTCAGAACACTTCTATGAGGGAGTGACATTAACATGCTGAGATTCCCAGGACTGAATGGCCACTCTCCTTTAGCAGGAACTCTTCAGACTGTCTTACATACTGAACTCAAAAGAACGTGCAGTTCTGTAGAAACGTCTTTCATACCAAAGTGCTTCTTTATTTAATCACAAGAGTGCTACTTTAAAAATTCACACTGTTTTTCCATCACATGTGAATAAAGTAAAGTGATTACTTGAACTCAAAAAATCCAGAAACCCTGCTTAGTGCATACTGTTGATTTGGGGCACAGCCGGGAATATGTGAAACATTGCATATGTTGCAGGGCTACATTAGCCTGGACTGAGATCAAAAAGAAAATGAATTTTCATGTTTAACTATTAGGTAATAGTAAAATTAATTTTAGATACGTTATTACAAATACACATTTAAACCCTGACAGGAAAGCTTTCTCAATTGTTTGAATACATGGCAGCATTGAAAGCAGATATTGTGATTTGGAAAATGTAAAAAAAAAAAAGCAAAACAACAACTTTGAGTCCTGTGATACACCGGACACCTCTCCATGTACCCCACGCTCTGCCCTATTACAGCCCTGATGAACTTCTGCCTTCTCATGATGCTAAATTGGATATGAAGTTAAGAAAAATGCACCAGTTTAACATCGATGGTTTACACTAACAGAAAAAGAAAGCTGTTTTCTGTTAACTCACTGTTTTTAACCGTTTTCACATGGAAGTTATCGCCGTTACAGGATGAGCCTGGTGTCAAAATGCAGGTAAAAATGAGTTGTTTTAAGCAGTTAACCCTTTAAAGTTTACCAAAATAATCCTTTTCAATTTTGGTCCAGTGAATCAGAAAACAGAAATTTTAAGTATTGAAACTATGATGTATGACATGATATTGATGCTCTTGGTTGTAGGAAAAAGTATTGTGATTTGAGCTTTAGCTTAAATGTGTCTATCAGCCCTTAAAGTGCTGTGTTTATAAAGTTAAGACATGAGGGTTTTTATTTGCAAGTAAAATACATTTGTGATTTAAATTCAGATGTTTCGTTTGTTTTTAAGCTGAATCTTGTGAGAACTCAAACTGAGTTTTATTGTTTTATTTTATTGTCTACCTGCAGAAGTCTCAGTACATTTTTCACCAATTACAGCATCGGAAATTGTTAAACAAACGCAATCTACATGAATATCTGCTGACGTACACGCAGCATGCCTCACTCAATTCAAGCCTACCACAACCACATGTCTGATTTAATGTGCAATGCTTCCAGTTGTCTGTTAAGCAGATTATGAATGGCTAATGTAGACAAAGCAGTAACAAGGCTTTGAGGTCACTGCAGGTCTGTACTTGCTAAAGTGTGCCTGTGTCATGCGTTTATATTGTAATGTTTGGCATTTTCTCCTTTGGGAGACAATCTTACACAAGGCAATTTCAATATCGAGCTTCAAAACAGTGCTGAGTCAGAATGGCATCCGCACAGTGCCGGCAGGTGCTGCTGGTGTAGGAGTTCCCTTTAGCATTATTATTTCACTCATGATTAACAACACTTTAATGCTGGGTTGATCTGACACAAGCGAACATCATTTTATTGTGACACCTCTTCCATTTGGAGCACATGCTCGTGCCCCAGAGCACATCCACTGTTAATGCTGGCTGCACACCATTCAGTATGGAGTCAACCTACAAGACTCAGCTGTGAGGAAAACAATCCATTTAAGGTTCACATTTTACTTGCAAAAAAACTTTTAAGGGCTCTTTGGGGCATTTTATCACAACGCAGACACAAAATGCCACTCCATATCTTTGCTGCCTCTACAGCACTAAGCAGCGTGTGGCACTTCTCTCTCAATTTGTGACATCAAGAATAACACAACACAGAACGGTCTTCATTAAAGAAGCTTTTAAAGGTGAAAATAACAGTACCTGAGCAGTCAAACATACAGAAAAGAAACTGCATTAAACAACCTTAACAGAACACGCAGATCATATTAAATCGATCTCCTTTTAGAGTTCAGTCCATCTTCTTTTAATGAAAACATCATAACATGCATCTGACAGTTACAAGGAAAAATTATACTTTGTGGTAATTTCTTAAAATGATAAATTTTCCTGATTTCGTAATATTAAATGGGTAAATGCAAAATTAAACTCCATATTTAGTCCACAAAGACCATCTTTGGCGGTGATGTAGTACATCGGGTGTTTGAGGCATAAATTGGTTGTTTCAGCTGAGCTTTTTGTTTAATCATTTTTAAACAGATCTTGAAAAAGAAAAATGTTAGTTTGCACTGATACGGAGAATCAGCAGCATGTCACTTCACTTCATTTATTGGATCGTTAAAGGCTGTCGAGTGTGTGAATCTTTTTGCAGACAGTTTCTCCAGCTCAGTGCTGGATTAAAGGCAAGCAGCAGTTTGAAATGAAATTAAAAGTGAGTGCCTTTTTTCACTCCTCCCTCGATCAGTGTCATCCAGTACACAAGTTAAAGAGAAAATTTTAACTGAATACCTCTGCTGCGAACCAGCTCCACAAAGCCTCCTTTCATTTGAATAAGTCTAAGCAGAATCGCACCAAAAGGAGGCTTTTTGAATTCCCGGAAGTTATGCTGCCTTGTTGCAGTAGCCATGACGAAGAGCAGCACACTCAGGCAAACCATTCTCCTCTTCCCTGAAGGAGTGATGAGCTTCAGTGGGGCCGACTGCTCGACTCTATGTTCGGCTGCTTCTTCTCCGTCCCATAACCGCTGAACCACCCGTTCAGCCGTTTGGTCAAACCGCCGTTCAGAATGTCCTGGATGTGCTGAACGATGAGATTTATTGCAACTGCGTTGAAAGACAGATGTTACATGGTTACAGATGGTCTCAGTTTGTAACTCTGTTTTACTGAGAGATACAAACTCATCATCCAAAAAAAGTTAATACCCCCAAAACTTACAGCTCATCTTTAATCATCAAAGGTCTAAGCTATTTTACAGAATAAAACGGCACAAAATAATGAAAAAATAAATGTAATTGTCTCTTTGTTTACCATAGCTACACTATTTCGCTTCTATGGCAGATATTATAAATTGTATATTTAAAAATATATATATTAAATGAATTGTACAGCCCATATTATATAGAAATCTTGGTCTGTTACTTCTTACAAAAACACATTATTTTTTTTGTGAGACTTGTAAGAATACATTTTAAAACTTAAGGTATGTTTGGGTTAATTACACTCACTGGCCACTTTATTAAGCACACCTGTCCAGTTGCTCGTTAACACAAATTTCTACACAACAGCAACAACACATTTAGACATAGAGACGAAGCAACATGCTGAAATATAATCAGGGGTCAGAATGGGGAAGGAAGGTGATTTATGTGACCGAGTGTGGAGTGGTTGTTCGTCCCAGACAGGCTGGTCCGAGTATTTCAGAAATTGCTGATCTACTGGGATTTTCCTAAGCAGCCATCTCTACGGTTTACAGAGAAAGGCAAAAATACTGATGGCACTGAGTGCCACGCGTGTGAGCAGGAAACTGAGGATACACCAAGCACAGGGCCACCAAAAATTGGACAATAGACGGAAAAACGCTGCCTGGAATAAAGTCACCACAGTAAGCCTGTTGTTCCATTCTTTGTATGTCAATGCTCCTGTTCCAAGTCAGACCTAAACAAATATTTCAAATATTATGTGTAGAAAATTAGACTACTGATCATCTGGAAAGAAGTCTCATGATCTAAAAATCACAATTATACCAAAGCCTGTAATGTTTTTATATGCATGTCTTTGCCACATCAACAAATGTTGTAGCAGATTTATGGCAAGAAACATTTTTACAATTAAAAAGCCACAGCGGCACATATACATATAAAACCTGACCAAGAAGCAATCAAGGGGAAATGGTCGGAGCAGGTGTGTCAGGAGAAAATCTTCAGAGAGCAGTGCAGTTTTCTTTTATAGCTTTCCTAAAACTAGACAAAGCTGTTTTGTCCTCACCTTGCTTCCTGAGTATGAAGACCACAATTCCCAGCAAGGAGATAAACACAGCTGCGTCCTTGCTGATAAACACTGTTGAGTCTCCAAAATTTGCTTCCACTAGATTTGTTTTTCTAAATAATCCGTAATGTAGTCTTTATGATGCACTTCCCAGGCAGACCCGCCCCCAGAACAACCAAAAAACTACTTACCAATGTTGTCAACTCCTCTCGGTATTATCACATCAGCATATTTCTTTGTCTAAACAAAGTCGAAAAGAAAAAAGAGCAAACATTTTATCTTTGACTCCATGTTCAGGGACAATCTGCAAATGTGCTAACAGAATATGGACTCACCGGCAGACAAAACTCTTCAAAAGCAGGCTTGACAAAGGTGATGTATTGGGCTAGAACGCTTTCCAAATCCCGTCCACGTTCACTGATGTCACGGAGCACTGAAGGAAAACGAGACAAGGGAGAAAACGTTTAAACTGCATAAAGTATTTTAACACTTTTGTATAATTTCTTCCTTTTTTCTATTAAAAAAGTGAAAAAAAAAGAAAAGATAATGAGTTAATTACTGAGTTGATCTATTGGTAGGTTGTTTAGCTATCTATAAGCAGACCCACTGTGTTTTCCCAGCTTCTAGTTTGGAGGTTAAGCCAAGAACCTGCTGTATGGTAGCAATTTTAACAGGAAAACAGAAAAGCTTGTTTCCTAAGATGCCAAACTAGCTTTAATTTTCAAGAGCCCTTCTTTGCAGCCCCCCTGCACCACGGGACCTCATTTTAAAAACAACTAATTCAATGAACCGTTACGTTCATCCCCCCGCCCCGTGCTTATAAACATAACAGATTTGTCTCGCCATGCGTCACCTCTCCGTGACAGACGAGTGTCTGCATCCGTATCCACGAACAGCTTCATGTGGAAAAAGTCTCGAATCTCCTGAGAGTAGAACATCAAGATGCCCTCAAACAGCACCACGTCAGCAGGGTACAGTGTCATGGTCTCTTCTTTCCTGACATATATTAAAACAGCAAGAAGGTTAAACAGCATCCACTGCAGTGAAAAATGATAAGAATGGCGATTGGAGAGATTAAAAAGCTTGCGAGTTATTCTGAAAAAAGGTCTTGAATTCTATTAAAGCTGCAGCACCCCGAGAATGTACTGAACCAAGAAATTATGTCTTGTTGCAAATGAATTTTTTTTCTTTATTTTAATTAACTTTAACAAAAATGAAATCTCAAATTTAAAACAATAAAAAAAAACTATAAATAAATAATTAACTTTTCATGTACTGTTTCACATTTGAACACTTTTACTACAAAGCGCACTCAGATTTTCCCACCTTCCAGGCAGTTATGGGCTTCCATTCATTTCACTATGATATGAAA